GGTATCTATCCAAGACCTTCTGGCTTTCAGAGTTTCCATTGAGAAGTCGGGTGTGATTCTGATTGGTTTGCCTTTATATGTTACTTGGCCTTTTTCCCTTGCTACTCTTAATATTTTCTTTTTATTCTGAAGATTTGGTGTTTTGATTATTATGTGTTGAGGCACTTCTTTTTGTGGTCCAGTCTGTTTGGTGTTCTGTAAGCTTCTTGTACTTTCATAGGCATATCCTTCTGTAGGTTGGGGAAGTTTTCTTCTATGATTTTGTTGAATATGTTTTCTGTACCTTTGAGCTGTATTTCTTCACCTTCTTCTATACCTATTATTCTTAGGTTCGGCCTTTTCACGGTGTCCCAGATTTCCTGGATATTTTGTCTTAGGGATTTGTTGGAATTGAGATTTTCTTTGGTCGATGACTGTATATCCTCTAGCGAGTCTTCAACAACTGAGATTCTCTCTTCCATGTCTTGAATTGTATTGGTTATACTCTCATCTTTAGTTCCTGATCATTTATCCAGCCTTTCTATTTCCAGCATCCCGTCATTCTGTGTTTTTTTTTTTTTATTGTATCTATTTCAGCGTTCCTGCCTTGAACTGTTTCGAGTGCTTCCTTCACTTGTTTGGTTATTTTTTCTTGGCTTTCTTTAGATTCTTTAAGAGATTTGTTTACTTCTTGAATTTTTTGGTTTGTCTTTTCCTCCATTTCATGTAATTTTTTGCCTGTTTTTTCTTCTATTTCTTTAAGGGATTTTCTTGTTTCCTCTTTAAAGGTCTCTATCATCTTCCTAAGAATATTTTTGAGGTCCATCTCTTCTTCATCCTCTGTGTTGGGCTCTTCAGATCTTGCTGGTGTGGAGTCCTTAGATTCTTGTGGTGTCATATTGTTTTTTCTGTTGTTGAGTGTGTTCTTGCTCTGTCTTCTTCCCATCCCTTCTTCCAGTGAGTGCAGGTGGGGTCTCTCCCTATCTCTCGTGGCAGGTGGAGGGCTCAGCTTCTGGTGGCAGCTGGATGGCAGAGGGCGGTGGGTGGAAATGTGTCCAGACTCAGGGTGGGCCTTCCAGTCTGGGCAGGTCCACTCTTGCCCTGGTGGGCTCTGGCAGAAGCGAGCAGGGGTTGATGGGGTAGGTTGGGAGGCAGAGCAGTGCCCAGACTCACCTGAGTCTCAGGTGCCCACCACAGGACCTCTTTTATTTTTTTAAAGATTCATTTATTTATATGTATACAACATTCTGCCTCCATATATGCCTGCACTCCAGAAGAGAGCACCATATCTCATTAGAGATGGTTGTGAGACACCATGTATTTGCTGGGAATTGAACTCAGGACCTCTGGAAGAACAGCTAGTGCTCTTAACCTCTGAGCCATCTCTCCAGCCCCTAATATCTACATTTTAAAAACAACAAAATTTCTGTGTGTAGTGGTGCATATATGCAATTCCAGATCTTGGTAGGCAGAAGTAGGGGAATCAGGAATTCAAGGTCATCTTTGTCTACATAGGGAATTTCAAAGCCAGCCTGGGTTACATGAGAGCCTGTCTCCAGAAATGAACAAACAAGCAAGCAAACAAAAACAAATGAAAAAACTGAAGGTTTAATTTGTTGGATGACAAGGTACAGATATGTTTGTGAGGTTTCTAAGGGCATGTTCTTCCCATAGTACACTAACTACACTGGAGATTGAATCCACACCTGAATAGGTAGATAGATAGATAGATAGATAGATAGATAGATAGATAGATATCAATGCAACTTAGTGTGATCATAGACCCAAGGAATGTTTTGGATCTCAGATGAAAGAGCAAACATCTCTGAGGACTAGGGACAACTCCAAAGGCTTAAGGAGAAGTTGTTCATCAGATAGCAAAACTCTGGAGGAGGCTATGCATGTGCCTAAAATTTCATTTTATATATTTGTGCACATTTCAGGGTTTTTTTTCAGAGAACACAGTATACAGCTTAAAAAAACCCAAACCAAAACAAACCAAAAACCAAAACTCTAACCAGATATAATCAGTATTGCTATGTATGAATTTAAAGCACATATACATTTCAATTTTTTGCATTTACATTTTTTGTGTGGGTGTTATGTGCCATGGAACATGCGTGGGATCACAAGGCTACTTATGAGAGATCATTGTCTCCTTCCACTATATGTGTCTGAGGGGACTGAACTCAGGTCATTAGGCTTGGAGCAAGCACTTTTATATACATCTCTCTGGCCCATATATTTGTTTTTACTACATTAGACTAGTTGTCTATAAATTAACAACACTATATTGTTTGCATTTTTTATGTCAGTACTCAGACCAAGTCACAGATGGGGATAATCGGGTTTCAGAAATCTTTCTACTGTCATTGTGTCTCAGAACATCTTCAGAAAAATGAAAACAGTATTGTAATAGATGGAAAGCTCTGCACTTTCAAGAGAATCCATGGAAGCCACATTTAACTATAGCTTTTAATTAAATTGAGTCATAAATTTAAATAAAAATACATATTTACTATTATTTGTAATACTGGCAAAAAAAAATCACAGATTTGTATACTAGAAGAAAGGGGTCAATTAATAGAGTCCCCTAAGGAGAGCCAAAACCCAGAGGCAAAGTTTTACTTTAAGGTTTTTTTGTGTCCACTTATTTCTCTCTTACTTCTTGAATAGCTTCCTCTAAAACATCAACTATTTGTTTAAAAACAAACAAACAAACAAACAAAAAAACACGAAAATCTCAGTGCTCATTTAACTACAGAAAGGTTCATGGATTATGTGTCTTGTTCTTTCATCTTTTCTGCCTCTAGGGGGAAGTGTGTTTTCAACAATTCTGTCTCCAGAAAGTATGTTCTTGTGGGTTAAGGCTTCACTGTGGCATTCTTTAGTGTGACTTCAGAATTGGCTGAACAAGAAGGAAGGATCTTTGAAAATCTGTAAGGACCCTCACTTTACAGGTTTTATTCGGGGTTCTGAGGCAGGAGGATTATAGAGAAAAAGCCCCAGTTTGTTTGTTTGTTTGTTTTTCTACATTAAGAATCATGGTAACTTTTCCACATGGTAGTCTTTCTTGGTGATAGCTGAGAAACATCTGGATACAAACTTCACTCCACAGAGCTAGAAACAAAATGTCTCTCAGATATTGACAAAAACATTTCTAAATTCTATAAAAGTCTTTTGAGTTTTTAACATCACATTTAACACTAATGTGTTTAGGATTTCAACTGGCTAATCCTATTCCTTTGTTTTCTTTGACAATTGAAGTTGATAATTGAATTCTGAATGTGAAAAACTTGCCCCCTCCCCTGAAAGGAACAATATTTAAATCCCGAGTTCAAGGCTATTTCTGTTCCCTTCCCCCCCTCTCTCTCTCTTGCTTTGCTAATATTTATGATTAAAATATTATAAAAGTTATATTATCAGGTGGTATTATTATTTTCAGTTTTACTGTTCTGGAAACCCTGAAAATTTATTTTTACATAAGATGTTATGTGTATGTCTATGTGTGTGTGTGTGTCTGTGAGTATGTGTGTGTATGTGAGTCTGTGACTGTGTGACTGTGTGACTGTGTGCATGAGTGTGTGTGTGTGTGTGTTACTTAGGCAAATAGTCCATTGAGCCCTATCTCCAGCTTTCTTTCTCTCTCTCTTTCTTTCTTTCTCCTATTATTTGGTGACAGGACCTTACAACATTAAATTGCCCAGGTTGGCCTTGAATTACTCTATAGCCCGGCAGCCTTTGAATTTGATATTCTCCCAAGGAGCTGGGCTTTCAGGCCTGTGTCACCAGGTCCAGCTATAAGTGTGATACAAAGAATATCACTTACAGTGGGAACCAGCTTGGTTACCAACCCTGTTTTACATAGTATTACAGGTGACCTTACCCAATAAAAAAAATATTCTCAGGGGACAAAGAGGTATTTAAACATAACACGTACAATCTTTGGGCTACGGTTCTTCAACTACAGAAGCAGTGATGTCTTTTCCAGCCTAAGATGGCAGAACTACATGATAGTCACACATGATAGTTCCAACTGGTTGCCTAAAAGCAAACAAACCCTCCTTACACTCAAACCCTTTGGCTCGTATTACTGTTTATAATCTTGTGCTTGTTTGCATTTGATTTTTTTTTTTAAATCCCGGCTTCTGTTCATTTGGAATCTGAAAGGATGTGTTGAATACAAGGGTAGCAACATTGTGCCTCCCCTCTCCTCTGTTACTGGGTAGATCCACAGCTTCCTCTTGCCTGTGCTCTTTAGCAACAAACTGGAAAACTGAGAGCTCCTACCTAAAGGCCACAGGGAGGATATGGTCCCAGCCATAACGTAGTTGCACTGCCCTGCTGTTGACCCAAGGGCAAGGCCTGAGATTCGAGAGGCACTCATACTGGGTGCCACTGAAATCTCACACTCTTCTAGTGAGCCCGCACAGTACACTGCAGAATCGTATCACTGTTGGCCTGTGTTCCCCAGACACAGGGCATACCGGGTGGTAACAGGAAACCTCCGTCCTTCATGTCTCCTGGCAACCAGTTGAAATCCACTAAGACCCTTGGAATCCAGGATTTAGCTGTTGTCTTTTTTTTTTTTTCTTAAATAGCTATGAGCCTATAAACAAATGTTTGCGCTCCCAAGAGTTCAGGAAGGATTTAATTGCTGTGAAGAGTTAAATGTCAGCTTCCAATGTGTGTGGATAACTCTTCAGAATTAAATTTTATATGGAAGCCTCTTTTAGTACTGGTTAGCAGCTCTAATTAAATAAACAAAAGCTCACCCAGGATTTAGAAACTCCTACTTACAGCGAAGGTTTAGGGACCACAATGCAGAACTAAAATCTAAATGGCTCCGGGAATGAAAAGCTACCCTGAATTACATTTTCACTGCTAGAAAAAGCGATGGAGAGAATGCTGATGACTGGAGTTGCTATGTCCCCGGGCACCTTAATCTGCCATTTCATAGCCACAGATGAGAGCAAAGACACTTTAGAGAGGTCTCGGAATAAAAAAAAAAAAAAAAGAGCAGCGCCAGTGAGAAATCGCGTGCAAGTTTCTGCCGAAAGAGGGCGTACGTTTTAGACTAATAGAATTCATGCACACACCGACATCCTGCTAAATGAAAGAACATTTTAAAACATTTTAAACTTAACTTTAATTTGCGGGACTTTAGTTTTAGAACTACATCGTGCAATACAGCCTGTTCCCACCTCAAATGTCTTTGCTGCGTTACCACGAAAAGAGGGTGCAGGTCCTTTTGGACCTGCGCAGCTGCGCCGTGGGTCCTGCGCGGCGCGCCTCTGGTCTGGGACATCCCCACAAGCGTTTCCACTCCGTCGGCATCGCTGTGGTAGTTGTGACCAGTGGGAAGATTGGGTCTCCCAGGCAGAACCTTTTTGGGCATCCCAGAATCTCTGGCATCCTGGAAAGAGAAGCGGCTGGATCTCCCAGCACTGGGGTTGGAGCAGACTGCTGTTCGGTACTTAGGGATTCTCTGGAGAAGATTTTTTTGAAGGTGGGGAGTGGGCGTGGGGGAGAACCACAGTCCCTTTTAGTTACCGGGTTTAGCAAACAGAACCTTTGCGGGGGGGAGGGATGCTTTTCAAATTCCGTGGCATTTCCTGGAGTGGAATCTTCGGAAGCAACAAGTTTCGCTTTTCTGGTCTTGGTGACCCTGCGGAGGGGTCTGTGCCCTGAGACACGGCGACGGCTGAGGCCGCTATGTGTCCCAGCAGCCCGGAGAGGGGGACCCACGCCTAGTGGGGGAAGGACGGGTGCGGAAACCGCCCCGGCCAGATGGGCATACTAGGTCCGCAAATGAATCTTCTTCCTGCACTGGGACCTTGTTCCTTGTTCCCCGACCTTGCTCCGGGGACCTGTAAGGTCAGGTGCGGGACAGAACTGGGCGCATCCAGACAGAACCAGGCCGGAGCAAGAAAAGAGGTGAGAGCAAGTGAGACCTGTGGAATTTTGCACCGAAGCCACCAATTTGGAGACACCTCGCCCCCTTTTGCAGATTGTGTGTATGCGTGTGTGTTTGTGCATGTGTGCGCGCGCATTTCTTTCCTTTCAAACTTACATACATTTGTTTTTTTTTTTTTAAAGCGGGGGCTAGAGTGAGCAGAGCCAACGAGAGGCGGGGACCTTAGAGTCGCGCTGCGCTGCGAGGGCTGGGGCGGGGGTAGGAGTGGGGGGGGTGGGGC